TCTGGGCATTGCACTCCGCCGTTGCTTGCTTTGCTTCGCCTCGCTTTTGCCTCTTTTCCCCTCGTCTTCGTGGCCTTCAAGCTAAGCTTCTGGGCTGCTCCACACGACCTCGAGCCAGACGCTCTGGACTTCGTGGTCGGTGCCAACCTTTTGAGAATAACTAGATTCCCTTGTTTGTGGACACCTTTTTCTTGAACCACTTCACTGTGCCCTCGCCGCCGAGCAGTGCCTTGTTGGAGTGACCTTTGAGGGTACATAGACCCACCTTTTGCTTTGGGCCCTACCATTGTTGCGCAACTTCACTTTCGGTCTAAGACCACCTTTTCTTTGGAGAGCTTCAGAACTTGTGGAGCTCCTTGAACACCTTGCAGCAGCCTCACTTTTGTTTTTGGCCATTTTGGCCGTGAAGATGACTTCAGCCGAAGAGTCCGGCACCAGCTCTTGGTACCGGGTGCCGACGTGGTCGGGCAACCCGGCGGAATGGCGACAGTTCCGCCGGGAGATGAACTGGTGGATGGCTTCGCTGGATGAAGAATCCTGCAAGAAGTTCAATGTTGCCGCCCGATGGGCACTTAGACAATATGGTGTGGTCAGGGCTCGTTGTGAAGAATTCGATCCCCAGGATCTTGAAGGGACCAGGGAAGAAGCCATGACCGATCCTGACACCGGCGACAAAGTGATTCGGGTTGCTGCAGACCCTTTTGCAGGCATCAAGAAACTCATGACTGCCTTGGAGGCCACGGTTGGGAAGACAGCTTTGGATAGAAAGGGAGAACTCCGATCCCTTTACTATCAAGAAATCAAACGCAGCCCTGGAGAGAGAATCTCAGCATTTTGCACGAGATTCCGGACCCTTGCAGCTGAGCTCAAGCGGGAAGGCATAGTGATGCCGGAGGAGGAGTTAGGCTGGATGTTGAAAGAACGTTTGGGACTGGATGCAATCAGGAAGCAGTTGCTGGAGACAGCCTTGGCAGGTCGGGAGGACTATGATGTGGTCGAATCAGAATGCCTTCGTCTGTTTCGAGATTTGCACTCCTCCGACCCTTTGAACAAGAGCAGACCTTTTGATAAGGCACCACTACTCCAGCGTTTCCTACAGTCCCATGACAGACACAGCTCCTCTTCGTCCTACAGGCCTTCGACTACAGCCAGCTCGACGGCTCCCTCTTCTCGCTCCTTCCGGACTCAGAGCTCTGGTTCCAGCCGGCCACCTTTCAAGCGTTTTGGCCAGCAGCCTCAACCTCGGCAAGCCTTGATTGCCGAGGCCCCTGAAGAGGAAGGCCAGATGGAGGCGGAAGATGAAGAGCTGATTCCAGACGATGATGGTCAGGGTTACTCTCCTGAGAACCTGACGATCGAAGAAGTCCTCCAGACCGAAGCTGAGCTTCTTGCCCAAGAGCTGCAGGAGCTCGAGACTGAAGGTTGCGACACTCGAGTGCTTGAAGATTTGGAGAGCGGCATGGAACAGGCCGCAGAGAGTCTGTTGACAATGCGTGAAGCACGCACCAAAATAGCTGAGGTCAAGAAAGACCGTGGATATGGAAAGCCTGGCCAACCGGCTCCTCTTTCGACGAAGCCCCATGGCAATCAAGTCCCTCGCCAAAAGAGCGCTACAAAGTGCTTCGATTGTGGTGAGATGGGACACTGGGCTGGTGATGCAGGCTGCAAGGCCCCTGGTGCTGGCCTGGCTCGACCCAAAGGAAAGCCTAAGAGCCAGATGACGAAGCAGGTCCGTGTCACCGAGACCCTGAATACTGAACATGTGGCTCCTGAAGAACCTGATGACATGGGCCACGAGGTCATGACAGTGGCCGCCGGCGATTCATGGGATCGCCCATTGTTCGAAGTCCTCATGCAGCACCATACCGACCCCAAGAACACTCCACGTCTCGCACAAGACAAAAGATTCGTTGGAGCTTTGGATAGTGCTTGCAATAGAACATGTGCAGGTTCCTCATGGTTGGCCTTCTACCTCCAAGCCCTTGAACGTGCTCCTTCCTATATCCAGAACCTCATCATCACCAACCCCGAGAATGAGTTGTTCAGGTTTGGAAATGGTGGTACCCAAAGAAGCACCGTGAGGTACAGACTCCCTATGGCCCTGGGTTCGACTTTGGTTTTGGTGTGGGTGTCAATAGTGCCAGTGCCGTCGTTGGGGCTCCTTTTGGGAAGAGACTTTTTGAGCGCTATCGGTGCGGTCCTTTCGTTCGGCCGCAAGCTACTGAGAGCTGACTTGGTGGGTGGCGAACTTTTGGAGTTGGGTCAGCTGGCCGCAGGCCACTTCGCCCTTCCACTCCAGCCACGCCAATGGCCTCGTCCGGACTCCCAACGCTGGCGGAAACTTGGACAAGACGGCATAGTTGAACTTCAGTTGAACAGTTTTGATTTTTGGAAGAAACAGTTGCAATTGAAGATGAGTCATTTTGAAGTGCCTTTTGAGTCAACCTCCGAAGCACCGCATGAGCACCTTGTGACAGAGCATGCGATCCTTGCTGCGACATCGGCCGGGGCTCAAGCTATGAAGGTGGCTCAAACACGTCCTTCAGCCCCGACGACATCCTCTTCGACGACCTTTCGAGACCTCGCAGGATCTGTGGATCGTAATGGAAGCGGCCCAGCACTTCGACCTGACCGAGAACGACTACACGAAGGTGGTGCTGCGCTGGCGGCGAATGCTTCTCCGCCTTCGCGCAAAGGCCGCTTGGCACGCACATGGCTTGCTCTTGTGGCTGTTGCCTCGTCCGCAGCTGCGGTACGCGCCCTTTCCGTACCCCAGCATCAGCCATACCAGACATTGGCAAGAACAAGCCGAATCTATGACCCTCCAGAAGCCAAAGGCATTGATGGTCAAGCACTGGCAGCGAGCTCGAACCCAAGAACCGTCAGTGTACACGACCAAGAACCTCCTGGACTTGGGACAATTCAGGAACCGTGCTGGCCTCAACTTCGCCTTCATGGAGGACAACGTGTTGCAAGGAATGCTTGCGGCACGCGCCAGCAAAGGCCTGACGGCCCAATTGAAGCGGGATGCCATTCAGGAAGCCCAACTCGAAGCCGAGGCCGCTACCAAGCGTGGAGAGAAGCACGACATGGTGCGCTCCCTCATCGGCCCAAAGGGAGGCCTGCCAACGTTGAAGGCAGACCTGGTGAAACTGGCTTCACTCCTGAACATCCCCGTCCAGACTGGAATGACTGTGGAAGATCTCAAGAAAGCTTGCCGCCCCTTGGTTGCCGAGATCGCTCAAGAGCCAACTCCCTCGAAGGCAAGTGGATCTACCAGTTCAACGGAAAGACATGTCCCCGAGACGTCAATGGCGAGACCTTCTCAAGCGCCCGAGACAATTGGCGCAAAGGCCAAGGCATCTCCTGGAGTGACCGCTTAAGAGCTACAGGAAGTCCTCACCATGCAGGACCACAAGTTCCAAGGGATGCTGAACCAAGTGCTCCAGAGCATTTCGACCCTGCACCAAGCATCGCACCTGCCGGGACCTATGACTTCCGGTCCGATGGAAACCGAAGCCACCATGGACTTCGGCTGGACCCAAGACGAGATTCAACAGATGAACCGCGACTACTACCAGGACGACTTGGAGTGGCGCCAGGCCAATGGAATTCCTCCTCGCGACCAGTGAGACCGATGCTCGAGCTGGAGACGAATCCTTGGAGGATACATCAGGCGGTGAAACCTGGTCTTTCGGATGCTTGGGAGCGTCATGAAAGAGACCGTCGCCTTGTGTCGCTCAGTGCCAAGGAAGTGAATGAAGTCTATGAGGAGCAGTGGCATCGAGCGATGGACCACTTCCAGAACGAGATCTTTGTCACCACCCTCACCGTTGGCGATGAGAAGTCTTTTCAGTCCCATGCCATGTCTGAGAATAGGTTGATTTCAAAGAACCCCGACCTTGTTGAGAATGACCGCTTCCCCAAGACCTTTGTCACTGAGGTCTACACAAACACAGAGCGAGTTGCGCAGACGGCTCGCAAACGAGGACATCGAGTGGGAGCCTCAATGAGCTTGGAATCAGGATGGAACTTTCTCCGTCCACTGGATCGCAAAGCGGCCAGAGCCGTCCTGAAGCGTGAAAGTCCTTTCTTTTTGGCGCTGGCATTTCCTTGTTCCTTTTGGAGTGTGTTACTCAACCTCAACCCTCCGAAGAATGGCACCAAGATGTATGAGGAAGCAATCACCCTCTTGCAGTTCGCCCTCCAATTGGCCAAGGACCAGAAGAGTCGTGGTTGTCACTTTGTTTTGGAGAACCCTCAATCCTCTAGAGCATGGACCCTGGAAGAGATGCAAAGAGCCTTGGAGCAACTTGAGGCCCGTTGTGTAGTCTTCCACCAATGCCGATTCCGCTTGAAGAACCAGGCGGGTGATCTACTTCGGAAAGCTACGAGGATAGCCACTTCGAGTGATGAGGTCCTTTCCCAACTGGACGGCATGAAGTGTCTTGGCAATCACCCTCATGGTCACATCATTGGGGGAAAAGCTGTTTCAGAGCCCGCTGGCCACTATCCGTGGGCCCTCGCAAAGGCCCTGGTGGTTGGCATGGAAAAGCAGTTTGAAGCTGACTTCAAAAGACCACACAACATCCTTGCCATCGAAGACGGTGAGGAGGCTGAAGATGAGACCGCCCTGCCGATTGACATGAACCTGAGTGACTCTGATCAGGAGTCCACTGAAGCTGCCACTGGACCCAAGGTGTCAGCTGCTGTGAAGCAAGCTCTTCGACGCCTACATGAAAACACGGGCCACCGATCTGGCCGTCGCCTAGCCAGAGCACTGGCTATCACTGGTGCCCCTCCGGACATCATCCATGCTGCTCGTCACCTCAAATGTTCAATTTGCGACGAGCGGAAGATCCCAAAGGCCAGACGGCCTGCTACCTTGCCACTACCCAAGGATGTGGGCGACCAGGTCCATGTGGACCTCTTTGAGATTGAAGACATTGGCGAAAAGCGCTTCTATGTGATCCATGCCATTGACTATGTCTCCAGGCTGCAGTTTGCTGAAGTTTTGGAAACAAAAGGTTCGAGCATGGTGGAGCGCTTCTTCAAGACCAGGTGGCTACCCATCTTGGGAGCACCAAGAGTCCTGATAGCAGATCAGGGCAAAGAGTTCGTGTCTGCTGAGTTTGAAGAGTTCTGCAGTTCATGGAGCATCTACCTCCACCACACCGCGGTCCAAGCCCCTTGGCAGAATGGTGTATGTGAGCGCGGTGGCGCTATCCTGAAGGGCATTCTTCGTTCGTGCATCAAGGCTCATTCGGCCTTGGGAAAAGATGATGTTGAACTTTGTCTCCAGGAGGCAGTAAGCGCCTACAACTCGGACATCAACGACGCTGGTGTCTCTCCTACGCAAGCTGCCTTTGGAAAGCAACCCCGGATGCACGGAGATTGCCTTGGTGATTTTGGTCGCCGCTTGAGTGAGCATGGACTCATCGACTCTCGGCCAAGTTTGGCCAGACAAGTTGCCATGCGAGAGACTGCTCGCTTGGCGACGGTACGCCTTCATTTTTCCAAAGGCCTTCGACGAGCTGAACTAGCCCGCTCTCGAGGACCGACGGCAGAGCATGGCCTATCTCCTGGAGATATCGTCTACTTCTTCAGACAAACTCGGTTCAACAACCGAACAGCTGCATCCAAGAAACGCCTCAGTCTCAAGCGATGGCATGGCCCTGCCCTCCTCGTCGCCTTGGAGGGCAATGTGAATGGATATGTGAGTTTCAGAGGACAACTGACCAAGTGCGCTATTGAGCATTTGAGACCAGCCAGCTCCCTGGAACAAGTTGCGAGTGAAGTATGGCAAGATGCCATTCAGGAAGTCATCGATGCGGCATACCATGATCGACAGATACCAACGACCTCCTCATCTACAACCACCTCGGCTGAACCCGAAGCACAGGGTGGACCGATGACGGGAGTGTCTCTACCTGTTGAACCTGTTCCTCTTTCGGCCGGACCTGAAGAAGCTCCTGCCGATCTACCACCTTTACATCCTCAAGAGTTTGTGCAAGCCCTCGGCAACGCTCAAGGTGGTCCTATCTCAAGAGGATGGTCTCGGCATACTTCTTCTTTGCCAGACTTGGGTACATCTCCATTTCCTGAAGCTGTACGAGCTGCCTTTGAACAGAGACGGCAGAGCGTTTCCAGTGCCGCCCCAAGTGCTAGCGGCGAGTCACAAGCTTCCAAGAGGCCTGCTGAACTGGATGCTGAGCGCTTGCGTGAAGAAGCTCTTCAACCAGACCCTGTTGCTCCAACTCCGGTTCAACCTCCAGATGAAGTTCCTGATGAAGCTTCCGAAGCCCTGAGAGTGACTCATGAAGTGATGGAAATGGAAGCCTATGCCAATGTGCATCCGCTCCGTCAGATCCAGATCATGGCGGAACAGGATCGTCTGAATCCCTTGGAAGCCAGAGTCCGAGACCATGGGACATGGCGTGGCAATTGGCCTCTCCCCTCGAGGACAGGATTCAAACGACGGCAAATGCTGAAGCAACTTTGGCCCCTTGGCAATGATGATGCTGCTCAGGAAGTGCTTGCAGTGCTCACTGCTCGTAAGGAGCATGTATGGAGTCACATGTCGGACTTTGAGAAAAAGGAGTTCCGTGAAGCAGCAGCCAAAGGATGGTCAGTATGGGTTGAAAATGAAGCCATCGAACCTCTTCCAGATGCCGAAGCTGCCCGCATTAGGCAGAAGTTGAAGACAGAAGGTGAAAGCCGCCGCATCTTGGTTCCTCGCTTCGTCTATGTGGACAAGAATGACGGACTGAGGACGGCAGACCGGGACCTTCCACTCAAGGCTAACGCCAGGCTGGTCGTCCCCGGATACCAAGACATTAGTGCATATGGCCTTCGCTGTGATGCTCCAACAGCGTCGAGAACTTCTCAGAATCTTTTGCTGACCTTTGCCGCCAGTATGAAGTGGAAGCTGGCAAGTGCTGACATCAAGTCGGCATTCATGAAAGGTGAAGAGTTTGGCCCCAATGAACGCATCCTCTACCTCGCCAACGTGAAGACCAGAGCACCTGATGAGCCACGCCTACCATTCTCGGAGGCAGGCTTATGCCGTGTGAAAAAGGGAGTATTTGGCTTAGCTGACAGCCCTCGTCGTTGGTATAAGAGGTTATGCAAGTCAGTACAACACCATGGTTGGCAACTTTCAGCTCTAGATTCGGCCGTGTGGTTCCTGTGGGAAGGTTCCAAATTGGAAGGCATCCTCATCTCCCACGTGGATGACTTGCTACTGGCCGGAGGCCCTCGTGCGCACCACACCTTGCAATTGCTGGGTGCCGAACTTGGGTTTGGTTCCACCTCCACCGGAACCATAACCTATTGTGGAAAGAAGATTGAGCAAGCTGAAGATTTTTCAGTGAAAGTTTCCATGGAAGAGTACCATAGCAATCTTCAGCAGGTGCGCATCAACCCACTTCGAAAGAAGAATCCAGAGGCCACTTTGATGCCTGGGGAACAACGCCAGCTCAGAGCTCTCCTCGGGAGTTTGCAGTGGCTGGTAGCGCAAGTTCGCTTTGACTTGCAATTTCAGTTGTCGACATTGCAGGGTGCTTCCCAGACCATCGAGACGTTGATCCGCGCTAATGCCGTAGTTAGAAAGGCAAAGCTCCACGCAGACTTCGCGCTGCACTTCAAGCCCTTGGACATGAAGAATGCTGGGATCCTCGTTGTTTCTGATGCCTCGCTTGGCAATGTGACGAAAAGCGGTAGTTCCCACGAAGCAGCCATCAAGAAGGTCTATAGTCAAGCCGCCTACTTTGTCCTCATTGCTGACGAAAACCTCATGAGCGGCAGAGAAGGCAAGTTCACAGTGTTGGACGCCCGGTCTCATAGACTGAACCGGGTATGCAGATCGACATTTGCCGCAGAGTTGCTGGGCATTGAGGAGGCGCTGGATGCCGGGCAATATTGCCGCGGCGTGCTTGGCGAAGCTTTCGGTCATCCACTCGACCGGAAGCCCTTTGACCTTAGCGCGGATTCCGTGCCCCTGTTGGTTGTCACCGACGCCAAGGATGCATTCGACAAATCCTGCTCAGAAACGCCGAGCTATGGCAGCCAAAAGAGTTTAGCTTTCACCATAAGCTGGATTCGTTCAATGCTGGCTCGATGCAACACGAGCATGCGTTGGACAGCAACAGAGAACATGATCGTAGACTGCGGCA